CGCAGATAGCCTGCGTGTAGCTTTGCGCGAAATTCAAAATAAACAAACAAACAAACAAACTTTCTGAGTAAATACTGATATCGACGATTTTCCGGTTTTATTGTTTTAATTGCTGTTTAAAACCAATCGATATTTGTATGGTATTATTTTAAGTATCCATAAAGTAAAAATTAAATTTTTAATACTCCTCTAATTTTGACCAATATACTCAGCTTTCTCGGCATTATACTTGAAACTGAATTAATCAGGTTAAAATATGTTAGTTTAGTTATTTCTAGTCTTAGCGTGTTGGTTTGTTCGTTTTAGAGCAAAGCCACATTGGGGGGTTATCTGCTGTGCTCACTGCGGGGAATCGAACACCGGATTTTAGCGTTGTAAGTCCGTAAACTTATCGCTCTCCCACCCGGGAACATTCAGTATTAGCAAAATAATATCTTATCTTCGTGGAATTAGAGGTTCGATTTCAATCCTTAACTCTTATTCTTATTCATAAAACTTTTTTATAGTCGTATGTTCTACTTTTCAGTAGCTGATTATCTCATCCACGTATTACAGATTCAACAGAATCGTACAATTTGCGTTTCTGACCTTCCTTCCGATGAAGATAAATATTCTGCTTCATTGCGTATTGGTAAATCTGCCACATGAAACCCTCTTATTCTCCAATTTCCTTCATTAGTCTGTTACTATTTCCTCCTGAGAAAGACACGTTTCTTTCCTCCTGAGAAAGACACGTTTCTTTTTCTTCTGTTTACGTCCTCGTAGTTCACTATTTCCCGGCAGCAACATTGTAGTAGTTGGTACAGAAAGTTTTCAACCTCTGGCTTTACGTAAATTCTTACCATGGTTTGTCTCTCTGTTTCAATTCTAACATCCGAAAGGTACTTTTTTTTTTATCCAAGTCCTTAATTTTATGATGTAGAATGGTGTAAAGCTAAAAACCTCGTGTTATAAACTTTTGATTGGAAACCTCTGTCATTTAGATATTTAAAAAAAAAGGAAAATAACGTTTCTTCAAATGTTTCATTTAAACATGTAAACAATGTCAACCCTCATTTATTTGATCCTTGTGCATCAGTTTTTAACGTTCCTTTGACTAAACTTCAGAATGTGTTTTTTAGGAAAGTGGTTCGTATTTGATGATCAAAGTTAATGACATTTTGAATGTTTTTAAGATTTCTTTGAAATTTATCACTTTCTGGAATTTTTCCAAACTATGTTCATGGACTTAAGCCCATGTCCCCTACCGGCGGCTCAGTGGTAAGCTCGAGGGCTTATAACGCTGAAAATCGGGTTTCGATACCCACGATGGGAAGAGCACATTTAGCCCATTGTGTAGCTTTGTGCTTAACAGCAAACAAAATTACGCCTAATCTGACTCATTGACGGAAAGAATACATTGTGTTCGTGATGACACGACTCGAGGAGTTCCTTAGAATATAGTCAAATATATTTTATTGGATGTCGTGTGTAAAACCTGCAGTTAGGATTTCAACCTGAATTACCTAGAATTATATTACTGCTACAAACGTTATCGACTGCTTTTCGTCTT